TTTTTTTTGGGCATCCAAACCGTGGGATCCAATTCGACCAGAACATCGAAGCAATAATGTAAGCGGATATATCTTTCAATCGGTCGATCATGGTAAGGCAGTAACTAAATTCTCTAACCTCTGGCATTACAACAATGTCTATATGCACATGGTAAAATCGATTGTCCGGCATTTTGATCTTTTCCGGGATCATAGTATTGTGGCGATGGATCTTCGCTCGTTGACAGGGCAAACCGTTTCGAGCCCACGATGTCACATCCTTCCACATTAATGGCCAAACATATTTGTGGCGTATTTGCTGATTGGTGGCTCTGCTGCTGGGATGAGAGATACCATGAATTGACATAAAAACGCTATAGCGCAGTGGCTGTGGTACATATGGCCTAAATGCTCCATTGGATGTGTCGCAATAAACTGACACATTGTCAAATTTGATGAGCAGCGATTTAAGGCTAGTGCTACACAGTAATATATATTGAAGATCAATGTCGTCGTTTTGTACCTCTCTTATATTTTTTCCAGCGTGGGCATTGAGATGCATATATAAGGGGCTTGCGATATGTTTTGATGACAAAAACATGCACCTCCAGAATGTGCATGAAAAATCGTATGGCCTCATAGATAGCTAATAACTCTCTATCATACGTACTGTAGTTTTCTTCCGATTGCGAAAGCTTGCGTGAGAAGAATTCCAGTGGCGGACATTCGCCATGAACTTGCTGTTCCAACGCTACACCTATTGCCGTGTCAGATGCATCGCAAATCAGGCTAAGCGGGGCTTTAGAAGCCGGATGGGCAATCATAGCAGCTTGAGCCACGGACTGTTTGCACGATTCGAATGCGTTTACTGTCTGTTCATTCCACTCGATTTTGCGTTTGTCGTTCTTTTTCATGCCTCGACAAATTTCGCTGAGTGGTGCTTGAATGGCAGATACATGGCGAATAAAACGACGATAATAATTAACAATTCCAAGGAATCGGCTGAGTTCGCAAACTGTGTCGGGTCTATTGAAGTTGATGATGGCGTTGGCCCGATCTTCTGGTGGCCGTATTCCATTTTTGTTAATGGTGTAGCTCAAAAATTTAACTTGAGACATTTATTTATATCAATGGCCAAACCATTCTTTTAAAGTATGGAGAGTACGGTTTGCAAATGTTTTTCGTGTTCGTCTGTGGTAGTGGACACAATCAAAACGTTGTCAATATAGCAATAGACAAAGTCAATGCCCCTGAATATGCTGTCCATAAGCCGTTGAAATGTTTGGGTAGCGTTTTTAAGACCAAACGGCATATAAAGAAATTCAGTAAGTCCGATTTGCGTGCTGTTTTTTTATGTTCAATGTAATGTATGACGCTATGCGACTCTCGTCGTGCAGTTCTTTGCGGGAAGTGTTGTACCGCTGACAAACGTTGATACAGAGGTCAACGTAGTATCTATCACTGTGCCATTGGTGTGGGCCTTTAGATCGATTAGCAAGTTATATTTGGAGACCAGATCAGCTCCAATTATTGGCGATTGAACGTCGGCGATGATAAAAGGCCACCTCAGTGGACGACGCAGGCCTAAATTTAGAATCAGAACGTGCTATACATAGGTGTGAATTGTCGATTGATTTGCATAGAATAGATTAAGACTTTTAACTGTGGTTTTAAAACGAACTGTTAAACGTGGTATCACGGATACCACTGAGCCAGAATCGACAAGAAAAGGTGTCCTTGAGTTGCGGTCGAAAATGTGTAGGCGGGTCTCAATTGGACGACTTGCATGCAAAGATGCGCTCGCGGTCGGCAGCTTCTTTAGTTTAACGAGGAAGAATGTATGCAGCCGGGACGGCATTTACGCGCAGCTTTACCAAACTCTTGGTGGAACCAGCATATACTTTGTTGTTCAGCTGCATTGTCTTTTGAATTTTTTGCTCCTTGAGCAGAGTGTGAGCGTGTATTCGATTTTGAGCAATAATTGGTGAGACTTTTTATTTCAAGCTGGAGCTTATTCACAGAGTCTATTAACATTTGTACAGTCGAATTGATGTCTGCTGACTTTGGCGATCGTGAAACAGCTTCCACACTAGTTGATGGTAGAATTTGCTGTTGCTGTATGGACATCTCGCACATAGCATTAGTGTTGGTTGCTTCCATCATTCTCCTTCCAGACTGAAAATAGTGGCCGTACTGTTTGAGGCATTTTACAAATAAAAGTGTGCGTATGATGTGTTCGCTTCCAGCGTCTGGAGCTTGAGGCCAGCTATTCCTTGGATCAGGCGCTGCAGTTTGCTTTCCTGTTTTTCTGCAAAACGAACCAGCAGACGATCTTTAGTGCTTGATAGCCATTTGTTAGTGGGGGCGTAGAAATAAGATCCTCAACTTCTTGCAGCACGTCGTCTTCCAGGTGGACTGCAATCAAATCAAATTTATCAGTTTCAGGTGTAACATTACCTGAGTCTGAACGATCGTTCCAATTGGGCGAACTATAGTTCCGGGTTTTATTTGGCACGTGCACAAGTTGCGGATTCGAGTGAAAACTCAGCTGCTATCCTGATGAAGCGCTAATTTGCTTCAAGTTGTTCTCAATGGCATCCAGTTTGTCGTCGAATTTTGTCGCAAATTTTATTGCACCATTTGTTGTGTCACTTTTTGCGCCGATCTGTAGTGAAATTCTCACGGAAAAATGTTCTTCGATTTTGCGATGTTGCTGCAAGGTATGACGAATGCAGTCGATTGTTACGAACACGTGGGGTACACCACTATAGTAATCCTGAATAACTAGTTTTTTATTTAACATACAAGTTTTAGTTTTCTTAAATAAGTCGTAGTTTAAATCGATGCATCTCTATCACCTTCGTCGTGCTCTCGATCCGCTAATGATACCCATCGTTATCGGTATCGATAATTCGTAGTATTAGTGTGTGAGATATATCATTTCGAAAAAGCTACTTTTGTTAGTTTGAAAAAAATGGGTGAAAAGGAATTTCGTGTGTTAATAAGGCATTGCTTTTTGGCAAAAAAAAAAATACTGTTGAAGCCAAGGATTGGCTTGATAAACATTATTCGGACTCTGCACCAGGAAAATCAAATGTTGAGAAGTGGTTTGCCAAATTTAAACGAGGCGATTTAAGCACCGAGGATGACGAAATTACATAAATTAAGCTTCGAATTGCTTCCGCATCCACCGTATTCGCCAGAGCTAGCCCCCGGCGACTTTTTCCTGTTCTCAGACCTCAAGAGAATGCTCTCGGGAATTAAATTTAGCGCCGATGAAGAGGTAATCGCCGAAACTTAAGCCTATTTTGAGGCTAAAGACAAATCGTACTACAAAAATGGTATCGAAAAATTGTATGACACCTATAATCGTTGTAATTAGCCAAAGTCACTCACGAGGAAGACTGATGAGTGCTCTTGGGCCAGCATCACAATTCATGAAATGCAGGTATCTAATTTAGCTTTTAACGAATTGCGAGATTTATTAAGAAGTAGCGTAAACTTAACATCATACGAAAGAAGACCATTTGCACTACTCATAACAACGAAAAAGAGCACCAAAATCCATTATACTCATATATAAATAGATTGAGTCGCTGCAGGCTATAACCCACGCGCGCGCCCTTTCGAAATCTACTTATGACATCTTTTGAATTCAACTCGTTTGATGGCTTCATCTTTTTTCTCGAAAGCTACTTTCCTTTCGAGCGCCGTAGGGATACGTTCAAATTGTACTGCACGATTATTAAAATTTTCAACACATAAGCAGACACTCTCAGCAGCCTGCGATAAAAATCTTTTGATAGTTTCCAAGATATCTGGTCAGTCTACCATAGCTGCTATTCCAACAGCTGTTTTACGTACTTGTTAACTGGCCCATTAACTCGTCCACATCGAAGCCTCTCGAAACTATATCTTCTGGGTTTTGCTTTGTAAGTACATGGCGCCATTCAGCGTTTTCTGTACCCTTGGACTTCAGCTATTGAAGCGTCGGCTTTAGCTTTTATTGAAGCGTCGGCAAAACCATGTAACTTGATCGGTGAAGATGGCTCTGTAAACACATATCGTGGTATCTTTATTCTTTGCAACTGAATCAAAGTCGATTTCATTTGCTATTGAATTATCTAAACTCTGAGGGATAGATTCATCCCAGTCTAACTATTGAAGCCAGAGCTCTTGGCAAAGGATATTTTTCAAGCGAGTCAAATAGCGACGATATCACCGAGAGAATGTTCCGTATTGTCGCTCTGAGACTCATGAATGAATCGACTAGCTTGAATTGAAAGGCATCTTCACTCGGTTTCCTTTGCCCTTAATTATCTGAATATTTAAACTTCTCCTTCTTCTTCTTTTTTGAACCGTCAAAACTTTCTTTAGTTGCCTTGGAATATAAATTCAATCTAATAATTATTAATTTAAATTAAAAATCGAATTAAATATTTGTTGCAACTATAACAAGTTAATTTTAGAATTGCACGCTTTATGTGTCAAAGGACTTCAAAAAAATGATCGGCCTGATTAATAAAGGTTAGGATAGCGAGCGTCTCTTGACCGAAACTAGCCGAGGGAAGTGCGTACAACAACAATTGCACAGCCACCGCTTAGCACAAAGCGGAATGAAAATAAGCGGGCTGCAGCTGGCTTGCTATGTGCGTGCACTGCACTTATATACAAGAGCTTAGTCTCGAGCAACTGTGTAATTTACAGTGGTCGCGGGTGATGGCAAGAGAATTACACACAATTACAAACGACAACGACTTAATTTTGAGAATTAATTTTAACAATTAATTTAACAATCGCTCAGAAGCACTAAAGATAACACAAATACTATATATTATATATTATATATAAAAGTCTCCAACCGGCTTTGCCACCCTCCAGCTAATTGGGGCTAACTGTGCGCTCGACTGCCCCCCCCCCCCCTCTGATACCATGACCTTGCAACGAAAAGATATCGACGGGGCCGCTAATATCGGACGCAACCAAATAAGCAAACTATCGATGCTGCCGATAATGTCAAAATGCGCATTTTCTATATTACTTCGCCCAGCCGGCTAATAAGAACGCCCAACGTAGGTCACACCCACGACCCTGAGATATCAGCACTGGTACTATCACCGCCAGCGTCTCTGCAGGAGTTCCATTCGGAAACCGAAGTCTTTGACGGGATCCGTGGCGTCCTTGCCGCCAAACCCGATGTCCCTCTGTTCGAGCTTCAGGTACGCCCCTTTGAATTCTTTAGTGCCCGCCTCCAGCGGAAATTCACCAGCTCTTCGGTCCCCTACCCGGAAGTTTCGGTTGTTGGCGCTGTGCCCGTTCCTAGTCTGAGGGCTCTCGACGAACCTCGTTCTGGGGGTTGGATACCTCTTCCTCCGCGCGCCTTGCCTTTGTGGTTTCGGCGGTAACGGCGGTGAAACCTTCCGGGTCCGGCGCGATGTGTCTTGGTGGCACCGGCTCCGAATTTGCTCTCAGGCGTGTGTCCTCAACGGTCTGATCATCATCTTCATCATCTCCAGGAAGATCGCTCGAATCTAATCTCGGATGGATTCGTAAATGCCGGACGGTAGGGATTGCCGAGATGTCTGGTTGGCTTGTGCAATCGCCGCGTTCACTGCCGGCCTGATTGCGGAATCGATTGCGGTTTTTGGGATCTCCAGGTTCCCTAGAACTCCCTGAAAGTTCATCGCCGTTCCCCCTCAATCTCCTGCAGGTCGCGGCGGTAGCAGAACTGATGCTTCGTCCGCGTCTGACACCCAATCGGATCCCAGTTCCTCAGACATGAATGACTTCTAACAACAAGGCACTAACCTTACTTTTAATAACACCGACCGCTACAACTATTTATAAATGAATAAATAACTACACCAAATTCCCTATCGACGACAAATCTTGCTAATATTTACATAAGTTTAAATAAATAAATAAATAAATAAATAAATAAATAAATAAATAAATAAATAAATAAATAAATAAATAAATAAATAAATAAATAACCACAATATTCACTATCGACAGCAAAAATAACTCACTTTCGCTAACAAATCTTACAAATATTAAAAACTGAAAAATTAAATTAATATCGAAAGCAGAAATAACTCACAAAAATAATTTTCTAAGTTTGAATAAAGTTTCATATAATTCAAGGGAGAGAAGACAAATCCTAACACAGGCTAACTTGTCTACGCATAATCTGGACAGTGGACAATATTTGAGCATTCGTCAAATGCTCAGTTCGTTAGTTTGACTGAAGAACGGAGTTCAAGAAACGCTACCTTGAAGTCTATTTAGCTTCTGTCACACTTCTGGGCACTTTTGGGGCATGCTGTCACAGGTGCGGCGCAGAATCGAATATATATCGTCCAGGGTCACCTGTCTTCAAAGCTCATATAACTACGGCCGTACACACATAACGTAAACACAGAGTGAGACAAAACAAATAGTAAACATAAAAAAACTCCAAGCAAAACCTACCCTAATATCACATTTTATCACAGGTTATTTTGTCATACCACCAGGCATTGATGGACAGTCGCAAACGCTTCGCCAGCATGCGAACATGTCTTATTGCCATCAACCGCGACAAGAAAACCCCTCATGTTGGGGTATGCTGTCCTAGGTCACCTGTCTCCAAATTAAACACAGAATAAGACAAACAAAACTAATAATTGAATAAATAACATTAGACAAATCTACCCTAATATCACATTTTTATCACAAGATCCCTTTGTCATCGCCAACATGCGAACGTGACTTACAGCCATCAACCACGACAAGAAAAACTTCTCATACTCATGTGATATTCTGATAACTGCCTCCATCGTGCTTCTTGGATTCCAATACACGCTGCGCGATTAAGGTCCACCTACTCGGGCCACATAAGACATAAGCGGTGTGGATCCTAAAGCCAAAAAAAACTTTTGTCTGTACGTGCATTGATATTTTTTTTTATTTCAGCCCCGATTTCAAAGAATCCGGGCGCTTCTTCAAATTGGGCGCCATATTGTTACGAAACTGCTTGTTTCTCTTTCCGCGCCGGCTGGCTCATTGGTTCTCTGGGTGTTGTCCCAACCCGCAGTCCGCACAATCGATACCAAAACCGATAAAATCAAACAGCCGGAAATTAACAAATGAACAACACTAATAGCTGTGACAACAAGTAAATATAAACAACGAAGGTGAGACGCTAATATAAATTAATAAAAAAGACACTATTAATCCACACTACTCTTCTCCAGATCGTGTCCCGGTTCCGGACCCAGCGTACCCGCCCTACCTGAGACGATCACCTGATCTCGTCTCCCTCATTTTGGACACTAGATGGGCTTCATCAGCCCGTGTCGGTTGTCATGCCCCCTCTTCCCATCAATTGACATTTCTCCCTTCAGTAGGTGCGTATAATTGGTTGCGTTTCTTATAATTATTAATAATTTCAATATCTATTATCTCCTATTTGTACAGGGCATTCCCATTCTGCAATTTACCATTCCGGGCAAGCTGACATTTGTCTTCAACTCGTCAACAAGTGCGTATTATACTTTGCATATTCCTAAATTTATTGACAATTGATTTTTTTAATTTCTAAAATTTCATTTATAGCAGAACAACAAAAAAAAGACGTCACCGAGAGTTATGAGCAATTGCCGCCGGGAACAACGTTGGAGAATTTATAAATCATAATTGAGCGATTGGCTCCTCCCACAAATTCATACCGTATATACGCATGTATAATCGCGCTGAAATAATGGTATGCAGTAAAAATTCTTATAAATAAAATAGTTATATGAATTAAATCGATTAATTACTCTTAGCCTACCTAAAGAGTTCTCTGGGATGCTAGGGGCGATGTAAGTAATTGATTATTTCGTTTATATATATACATATGTACGGATAGCGTGGAATCAAAAACTAACTTTTCCTTTTCAGATTCCCCTGGCACTGGCCGTAACCTTTGGGTCGTCTCTTTCGACGCAACCTCGGCTATGTATGTATTCCCTTCTTTTCTTTTAAGTTAAATTTTAGATAACAGAGAGGGCAAAAAAAAACTAACTGATCTTAATTATGTAAATATTTCTTGTTCATATTTTAGAGCAACTCAAATGGGACCCAGAGTTAGACTGCCCTTCGGGTTCCCTGGGCCCTGCCTCTAGACTGGGGGTGGCAAAACGCTCTTGGAACGGACTCACTCGGTACTATGGGTGTGGTCTCGCCCGTGTCCGCTTCGTCTCCAGGTCGACTCTCGGCGTCAGCAACGGGGCGAAGAGATGCTGGCAGTCATCGACGCGTCTTCTAGTGTGGATCCTCTCGCGGCGATGAGATTGGCCGGGCCACAGATAACGGCTAGTGAGGCGGAAGAAACAGCCTGTCGTCCTCTGCGTGGCACCTTGGTTGGCACTTCGATTGTAATTCCTTTATTTTGTTATCTGCATCCAGCCACTGATATTTTGAGGCTGGGCTGAGCATTAAATGTGCGAATAAATTTTGGCACACGACACAAAGTTTTTCTTCTTATTTACGGCTGACGATTTTGTGCGGCCCGACAATTTAAAGATAATTAAATTTTTGCACTGCCTGATCTATTTTCCAATTTTTTTTTGTTTTTTGTTTTTTTTTTATTGTGTGGCGTTATTTCAATTTACTTATTATTTCGGCACAATTAAACAAAAAAGATACCTGTTTTATATCGTTCGGCATAATCCAATCATACTTTATGTTCTCTAGAAAATTTGTTTAAAAGGTGCGCTTGCGCATAACACGCCTGCCGCTAACCGCTGACCAAATCAAACTCCCTGCTGTACATTTCGGCAGCAACTTCATCGGTGCCGCATTTCGGCACACGCATAAATGTAAGTTGTAGAATATACAAATATACATATTGATCGACGCGGATAAGTTTCTCGGGAGCAGCGTGGTGAATCTTTGGGCTCAATTCGTGTATATGCGGTTTAAAGGGGTGTTATCCGCAAAGTACAATATTTAAAGAATAATGTTAACGTAGTAACTTAATTCCTTGGCTTACTTATATCTTGATATTCTGTATTCACATATATTTGGTTGCGCGCTCAATAACTTAATTCATTTATAAAAGAATGGTTCGCTACGAAACGAAATTCGAAAAATCGACACTATCTTACGATGCTAGTTTGACGCACGTACTAAATAATATGATTTAGTTCACTAAGGTGAACCACTGAATTAGTTCAGTAGCTCATCAATCACACCAAGTGTGGTCTGAGAGGTGTAATTCTTATTATCATTATATAAATAAATATAATGGGATTTGTGCCGTATACTACTCTCAATAGTTTAAGGTAATATTGTTGTTGTTGTTGCTATTAAAAATCACACATATTAATATATCTTTTTTGGTTTATTAGGGTTTTAAAATGTTGCCGTTTAATGTCGATGTACCCTCCACATTTTGCTGAACCTATATTAAAAAAAGAGTCTGAAATCATAAACAAAAAGGACGTCTCTCATCTACCAATTAAAGCGGCTCCAAATGATTTATCCGATTCCATATTCTATGGTGTTCTTAAAAATAAACTTTTAAAATATATAACTAAGAAGGGTAATGGAAGTTTAGCTAAACAGCTTTTAACTGATACATTGGAAACTATTAAACGGACACAAATTGAACGGTTGAACCTTAACAATGCCGAAAAGGAGAATGTTATTATTGATACCGAGAGAATTTTAATAAATGCAATTGAAAACTCTCGACCATTACTCCAGTTGTCAGAAATAAAAAGAGGTGGAGTAAAGTATCAAGTCCCCATACCTTTGACGGAGAAAAAATCTTATTTTCTTGCTATGAAGTGGCTCTTGGATGCAGCACGTGAAAAAGATCGTAAAGTTCATCTGCCAGATAAACTTGCCTGGGAAATATTGGACGCTGCGCATGGACAGGGCCGAGTAATTAAAAAAAAGGACGATTTGCATAGACAATGCGAAAGTAATCGAGCTTATGCCCATTATAGATGGAGTTAAAAACCAACGATTTTTGTGAACAAAAATTTAAGAGGTCTGCTTTTATTTTGAAATGTGAAATTTGAAACGGAAGTAAATAAATGTACGCTTACGCAATGTTTCAAGTTAGGCTTGACGGCATTTATTGAAATATTGTACAAATGATCCGAATTATAATACAGATAAAAATATGCCTCTACGAGATGACTGAGTAGTACGATACCTGCCAATCGTACGAGTTGTAACGACTGAAAGCCTTATTCCCGATAAATAGAGTAGTTGTATACCTCTGGCAACTTGTTAATTCCTTTGGGAGCACTGTATTATTGCATATCAGGGAAAACCTCATATAGAAGGCCTCCACCTAGCTGTTTTGCGGCGGTTTGAGCCTTAACAAAACACTGGGTAATCGTGAATTCCCATACATCAACTTTTGTCGTAGCTTATGGTAATGAAAATGTTAAGGACATTTGCTCTTGTCCTTTAAGAAGCAACAGAAGATACAGATATATAGTCCAAACAATTTCGCTTACTTTAATTCAGTTGTCAAACTTTACATGACCTATAGGGTCAAGTTGAAAATAGAATCTCCGATTATTAGAAGGAAACGATTCCAATTGTGGACTAAACGTGAGCAATATTAACACTATTGACTTTTGAGGTGCTATTTTAGTTTAGTTCTCTTTTTTTATCGAAACTGATTTATTGGTATGGCTGTGGCAACGACAATATAAACACTAAGATGAGTAACGCCATACAATAAAATGTTACTATGCATCTGGACTCTCACAAAATTAAGAACGAAAACGAAATCAGTACCCTTTCGCTCTCACAGCTTAAAAAACGAATACGTTAAAACTATAATGTTCTTTTAGCTTCGGCTATTCAAGGGAAGAGTAAGGCAATTGTGTTTGCATGTGTGTGTCTATAAATACACCAAAGCATATTTGTAAGTGTTGCGATTTTTGTTAGTTACTATGATTTATACCAAATTTGTATTAGCATATTTTTGGTATGTACTAAGGTCTGTTAGGTAGAAATAAAACGAGAAAGAAGGACTATCCTGGGCACGCCGAAGATTATACCCTTGCAGTCCCAACCTTTTCATAATGCTCAGTGCTTTGTCCATATCTAAGAAGCACAGGGAAAATAATTAATACTGAGTATTGCCAAGATATCTTGAAAAACAAACAATTTTTCCATACAGCAACTTACTTTTCGACCGATCATTCCTATGGCAGCTATATGATATAGTAGTCCGATGCAAATAAGATTTTGCATAAATGTAGGGAGAATAGTAAAACTAATAAATGCCGAGTTTAGTCAAGATGCCTTGAAAAAGAAAACAATTTTACATAAAACAACTTAATTGTTGACCGATCGTGCCTATGGCAGCTACATATATGATATAGTAGTCCGAAGTTCATAGGATTTTGCATATATATGAGGAGCATATTAAAACTAATAAATGCCGAGTTTGGTCAAGATATCTTGATAAACAAAAATGTTTTTCATACAGAACCTTCTTTTCGGACGATCGTTCGTATGGCAGCTATATGATATAGTGGTCCGATCCAGCTGGTTTTGAGATATGGACTGCTTGCAACAGAATGAGGCCCATCTGTTTCATAAAGATTGCTTTAAAACTGAGAGACTAGTTTGCATAGAAACAGACAAACGGACATGGCTATATCGACTCGGCTGTTGATAATGATCAGGAATATATATACTCTATGGGGTCGGAGATGTCTCCTTCTATGCGTTACACATTTCACTACAAAATTATAATACCCTCTGCAAGGGTATAAAAAAGTACGCAAATAAATTTAAAGAACACTTAACATTATTAACAATTTAATATCACTTCTTCTTTGCAGGCAGAGCGAGAAAACGGCTGGACGAAACAGACGTAGAGGAAAAATTAAAAAATAAATTAATTAATATAATTTTATCCTAAATAATAAATATTAAAAAAAAATAAGTTTTAGCAATCGCCCCTTGCGCGCAGCCGCTTCTTATTTATTTATTTATTTATATAAACTATTCATAGAGTTAAAACTAAATGATAAGTGAATATCAGTAATGGCTGCCAGGGCCTTCAGCTGGATAATAGTAGGTACTTAAATGTAAGAAGTATTACCACTTAATTACTTTTAAATATTGTATTATTAGATGTAAGGTTGGTGATAATTTATATAAATATATTTTTGTAATTGCTATGGTTACATTTCAGTTAGCTTGCGTAGCTTAGTTTATTAAAATATCGTTGTACAACTAAGATTTTTTTTATGAATTTTACTATACATATGTATATTCTTTTCATTAGGGTTAGCAAGTCAGTAATTATTTTCTAATGTTGTTTTTTTTCTATTCTAAGTTGGTTTTTTAATATCATTAATGCTATTATTTTGTGTACAAATTAAAAGCATTTGTGTGGCAATTTTTGCCACGTGATCCGCTAACTTATTTTCGTTAATTTGTGGATGGCCAGGGATCCAAATTAGCTTTACTTTAGGAAATAGGTTGATTATTAATAATATAATTGTATAAAGCCTGAGGACCCAACCAGGCTTGGCGATATATCACCTAAGCCAACTGTGTTTTAATAAAAATGTGTGCTATTTTTGATTCAATACAACAAACATTTATAAAAAAAAAATTCATTTTTTTTTTATTTATTTTTATTATGGTTGTTTGTATTCGAGTCGGAGCATATAATAAACCTTTCTTTGGTAGATTTCCAAAATTTAGTGTGTGTGCGTGTTTCTGTTGTAATTGAATAGCCAGTAATGTTATTTTCTTGAGAACCGTCGGTGTTCTTTTTTTTTTTTATATAGGAGAAAAAAGCATAAAAAGCCGAAAAGTGTAGGGCGTGCACCCACTAAAAACCCACCTACTCTCCGTATCCCTCTCATGGCACCACCGAAAGGTATCACGAGGGGGAGATGGCATGAAAGCCTCAGCTAGATTCTCATCTATGATTGACGATTGCGCTGACGCAAGTATTTGATTATCTCTGCAGCTGTGCTGCTAATAGCAATCCAATTGTTTTGCGAGCTTAGTTGGATGTCTAATAAGTCGTTGACTATAAAAGGTCTCCCAATAATTTGACTTAGCTCTTCCCGTTCAGCAGAGAATCTTGGACAGACGAAAAATACATGTTCAGCGTCCTCTATGGCCCGCGCACAGTGTGTGCAAAACGTGTCTGTCTGAGTAATTGAGTCAGGTAAAAATCTGTTTGACCGTGCTTCCTATTCACCCAAGGCCGTATGTACGGGATCAGCGACCGTGTCCAGTTGCCATTGGGAGTAGCTCTCCACCTCGCCCGCTATGCTTCAAAAGTTTCAGCCCGCCTTATAGTTTGGGGGCTGTTGCTCCTTGTCTCCATTGCCAGGAGATCTAGCGGGATCATTCCGGCCAACACCAATGCTTTATCTTCGGAGACGGTATGGTAGGAGCTGAGGCATCGTAGCGCGCACCTGCGGTATGCAGCCTTGCTGCTTCGGCCGTAAGCTGGTATCCTCAGTGCCGGTTCCCAGACTGTTGCGGCATACAGGATGAGCGACCTGACCACACTTGTGATCAGCCGCCTGCTCTTCTGCCGCGGGTCCGCATTGTTTGCAATCATGCTGGCCACTACATTCGCAGCTTTGATGATGGTGCTTGAAAGTAAGACCATGGTCAAGCATTACTCCCAAGTACCTGATGGCTGGCTTCGAATGTATGGAACAGCTGTTGACGTATATTGTAGCTGTTTCCACTACCTTCCGGCTGCTGACTAGTACCGCCTCCGTCTTGTGGGCAGCCAGTGTTGAGCCATTGGTCGCGAGCCAGTGGTGAACTGGCGGATAGCGGTGTTTGTTTTCTCCTCAACCGCAGGCACTCCTTGCTGACCGAAACAACCGCTATGTCGTCAGCAAAGCCAATATGTCCAAGCGAAGAACTGCGTCGTACATAACATTCCACAATGTAGGTACCAGGACTGGTCCTTGTGGAACGCCGCCAGTTATAGTGTGCTACCGCTGTCCTGCAGAGGTGTCATATAGGAGTACACGGCTCGAGAAATAGTCTATAATAAGGCTTATCAGGTACTCGGATATCTGAAGTCCCTGCAGCGCGCGAATAATGCTCAGCCAGCTCGCTGAATTAAACACGTTCTTTACGTCCAGGGTTGTGATGAGGCAGTACTGTTTTGTTCCATTCCGCCATCGGGTCCCCTCAATGGCTTCTGTGGCGATGCCCACCACATGGCTGATGGCTTGGGTAGTGTTGCTTTTTTTGGTACCCCATCAGGTTCTGGGGCCTTGATTGGCTGAATCCGGGCCAGGGCCTGTAGCACCTCGTCTGCGTCCGTCCATTTTACCGGCGAGGTTCCGGCATTACTCGCTATGTGCAGCGTTGGTCACGAGGGGAAGAGCGTGGTGACGGTTGCTTTTAGCTGGTCCTCGCTTGCAGGCATTGGCCTCCTGCACATTCTTCCCATGACCAACTTGTAGGCTGCTCCAAAGGGTTGCGCGTCGGCTTCAGCGCATTAGCTCTTCCATGCGGCGTCCTTGCTGCAATTGATGGCTTTCTTAAGCGCGGCCCTCATCGCTCTGTAGGCTACCTGCGTCTCCTGACAATTGTTTCTCCTGTGTACCCGTTGGTAGCGTCGTCTGGCTATATGGCATTGTCTTCTGGCCGTCTCTATATCCTGGTTCCACCAGTGAAAAGGTCTGCGCCCGCTTATCCGCCTTCTCTTTGTAAGCATGGCAGCATTGCATGCCTCCTCTACCGTTCTTGCAATGTGGTTTGCACAGTGGTCGGCATCTCCACTGGCCGGAAGTTGCATGCTCTCGACCATTAGCGACAACGCTTCTGGTGGTCGCTGTGTGTGTATGCGTCTGACACCATCCAGGTCACGCGTCTCTCCAGACATGGGCTAGCAAAGGTCAGGTCGATGACAGATCCTCTGCCTGCTTTGTTGAATGTTTGCCTGTTGCCAACGTTGAGATGCGACACGTTGAGGGCTGCAAACGCGTCCAGAAAGAGACACCCAATTTGGCTT